TGACCACTGAGGAACGAGTGGATCATCATCATCATCATCATCATCGTCATCGTCATTATCATCATCATCACCACCATCATCATCACTACCATCATCACCACCATCTGCATCTTCGTTATCACCATCATTGTCATCATCGTCGTCATCACCATTGACATCGTCATTTTCGTCATCATCGTCATCATCATCGCCATCGTCATCACCATTATCATGATCGCCATCATCATCACCGTAATTGGCATCAGTGGCATCATCAGCATCGTCATCGTCATCATTGTCAGTGCCGTCATCGTCATCATGATACTAGTCATCATCATCATCCACACGATCAACACTATCATCATCGTCGTCGTCTTCGTCATCAGCATCAGCTTCATCATCATCATCACCATCATCATCTTCGTCATCATCATCACAATCACCACCATCGTCATGATCACCAGCGTCATCATCGTAATCGTCATCATACTCATCACCGTTATCGTCGTCATCATCGCCGTCGTCGTCGACGTCATTATTCTCATAATCATCGTTCTCATCTGTTTCAATATCATCATCATCATTCCCACCATCATCGTCACCATCAGTATCGTATCGTCATCATCATCATTGTCGTCCCCATCATCGTCATCGTCGACAACGTCATCATCATCATCGTTGTCCGCATCAATGTCACCATCGTCAACATCATCATCGTCATCATCATCACCATCAGCATCCCCATTTTCGTCACCATCATCAACGTCGTCGTCGCCGTCATCATACTCGTCACAAGCGTCAACATTATCACCATCATCGTTATCTCCATCGTCATCATCATCACCATCATCAGCATCATCCTACCCATCATCGCCATCATCAGCATCGTCATCATCTCTTGCATCGTCATCATCATATTTACACGTCTCGTCATCATCATCATCATCATTATCATCATCGTCGTCGTCTGTATTATCAGCGTCCTCCTTATGAGTATCAGCATCTGAATCATCATCATCATCATCATGATTATCAGCACTGTCATCAGCATCCTCGTTTTTATCATTCGCGTTGATTTTTCGCGTCATCACTGCCATCATCATCATCAACAGCCACCTCAGCATCATCATCATCATCACCATCATCATCATCATCATTATCATAATCGTCATCGTTATCGTTATCATTGTTTTCGCCTGTATCATCATCGTAATATTCGTTATCATCATCTCCGTCGAGCCATCGTCGTCATCATCATCACATTCATCATCATCGTTGTCAACATCATCATTGTCTGAAGCACCATCGTGATAATCATCCGCGTCGTCATCATGGCCACCATCATCGGCGACATCAGCATCATCATCGTCATCATCATCGTCCTCATCATCATCATCGTCTCCTCATCATCGTCATCATCGTCATCATCATCGTCATCAGCATCGTCATCATGATCATCATCATCATCGTCGTCGTCATCATCATTGCCCTGTTCCTCCCTCCTTTGCTTCTCAGGGGCAGCGTTAAGGGGGGGATGGGCTCAGGGGGAGGGGCATCGATCCCCAATTGCCCACTGGTCGCCGATAGGGGCCCGATAACCCATCCCACCAGGGAACGTGTGGTTTCTTGATCGGGGGCCTACCGACGGTCAATCGGCGACGTATCGCCGATTCAGACCCGATGTTCCCACAGTCCTGAGCTGGTTCCCCCCTAACGTGGCCCCTCCTCTTCCCCCTGTCCACCTTCCCCCTTCCCTTTCTCTTCCTCCTCCTCGTCTCAAGCAATCGCGGCTTGAGCTGTCCTTAGGTTTAGGCTCGGTAGCTCGCCAGATCGCGCCTCCCGCCTTGTCGTGGTGCTTGGGGGATGTCAAAGCAGCTGAAGTGTTCCCAGTATTGCTTGGCGACGAAGGGGGACATGTGCAATTCGTTTTAGACGTGCAGTTAGTCATGGCTGTGGAATGTGGTCTGGTTATCGCGGACGCAGGTCCGCGCACGTTGGCGAATTCGATTTTCGCCGACATCGGCACGGGGATGCTCGAACACACTGCTTGACCAGCCATTGGTAATCTGGGCGCCCATATTGAAGTACTGAACAGTTTTGTCGAGATGTCGAGGTTTTTGCCGTCGAGGCCATTCAAGAGACACCACCGCGTATCATTCAGGCCTGTGTCTGGCCGCCGCAGGATTGCTGGATCTACTTGGACCGCCTCATCGGGCATTCTACGCCGTCTAAGCCCAGCCATTAGGACCGTACCCGGTTTTACGAATCCATGATTTTCGAGGCTATCGCTGGACAAAGTATCACAGCAGCAGCCACGCTGGCGAGTTGCAAACAGAGCGGCTATGGCATGGCTGGCCTTACACCCGCGGTGCTTGCGCCGCTCAGCCATGTCCCTGGCTATCATCCAAACCAGATGCACCTTTCGGAGAGTTGCCAGTTGCACAATATTCAAAATAGTCGTGAGCTTGTGGCACGTGTACAGGTCGGGGCCCACTTTTTCCTCACGATTTCCTCACCACCTAACGGCGCCATTAATCGCATCGACCTTGGTTGTAAGTTGTTGCTTTCATTCAACAAGGTGTGTGTTGGTTTGGCTGAGCGTGGCCATCGACAGGCGGACATGTTCTCTTGTGGTGGTGGGCTTTAACAGGCTGAGCCTGGCCAGCGCAAGGTATTTTTTTCCAGGATGACGGGCGCAGCGTCTGTCTGTACCTGGGTACTGTCACTTAGTCTGGTATGCTGCGTTTTACGCACATTGCCACAAGGACGTCGTTATCTGTATGGCAACTTAGGCACCTTTTGGTAAGATGCTAGTGTTTCTGTTTCTGCGAGGTCCTTGTGATAGCTGCAATTCCCCAAATTGTGGTCGTCCGTCTCATCTTGTGAATTTTGTGGCGCAGTCGGTTTAAGTGGAGCTTCCAATGCAAATCGCTGTGGTGCAATTGAGCAGCTTCGTCCTTGCATTCTCTCCTCGGGATTGGTGTGGTGAGTCACGGCGAAGCAAGGAGGCGGTCTCGCGGAGTTGACGATCCCGCTTTGGAGTTGTACGCTGGTGTATGGCATTTTGGGGTTGCCCGGTGACCAGTGCTATTGGTGCTTCAGTGGGCCGCGTCGAGTTCCTTTCGGTTCAGCTTATTTGTTTCACCTTTTGCACCGCGCAGTTCTCGCTTGGAGCTTACTTCTGGAAGTTTTCCGGGCTCCTGGGTTTCGTATTCGGCTTCGCGGCTTTCGCGGACCAGCTCAGAGGCGTGGCGTGCGCCTCTTAGCCGCAATGCGGGATCACTTGTCTTTTGTCTCTTATCAATTCCTCCTCCTCGTCCTCGTTTTCCTCCTTGTTTCGGCTCTGGTTCAAGGTTTTTGCGGCAATGCGAGTGGGTGATGGGTACTGGCCGCTTCGTGCCCCCTCGGCTTCCCTCGTTCTCCGCAAAAAGGTGCGCTGGAGAAGATAACACTTCTCCCTTTCCCTCACCCCAGCACCCGCCTTTCCATCCTTCGTTCGGCCCCCTCGTCGCGCGCTGCGATGTAGAATTCCACGGAAGGCAGGGCTTGACGCCGACATCCGGCTCAACAAACCCTGTCCCTCGCCCGCGTCCAAGCCCTCCTTGATGGCTCTGGGTGCACAGCTCTGATGGCAGTGCAAAGTTGGCGATGCGTGCTGCCCGCCTCGTGTCTCCCTCTTCCCCTCATCCCCCCCCGCTCCCCTCTCTCTCCCTCTCTCTCTCTCTCTCTCTCTCTCCCTCTCTCTCTATGTATGTATGTATATATATATATATATCAGGCAGCCAGGCTGCGAGGGCGCGGCGCCAACAGCGGCCCGCGACAGAACGGCCCGCTCTCGCGGGGGCATCGGCCCAACAGCACGGGGCGCCCCGAGGCGCCGCCGCGGTGAGGCATCGAGGTGGTCGCGCGCGACCACCCCGGGGGTGCTTCAGACAGGGCCCCACCTTCGGCGCATCCTCGCCTCCCGCAGAAGCCTTTTTTATTCCCGCGTGCTCCCTCTCCGCCCTTTTGCTCGTCCGCCTCCTCCTCCTCCTCCTCCTCCTTCCTCCTCCTCCTCCTCCTCCTCCTCCTCCTCCTCCTCCTCCTCTTCCTCCTCCTCCTCCTCCTCCTTCCTCTTGCTCCTTCTCCTCGTGCTCCTTTTCCTCCTCGTCGGTCTCTTACCCCTCCTCCTCGCCCAGACCCTCCCGCCTCCTCCACCCTTCTCCTCCTCCCGTTCCTTTTGTGTCAGACGCGGCGAAGGTTGTCGAGTCTCGAGGGGCAGCCACGCACGACAGGTGCAGCCTGATTACCGACGTGCAGGTACACGGTGGAAGAAGAAGGGGGTCTCCCCCTTTTGTTTCTCCCCCCCCCCCCCGCCTCGACGTCACCTCGCCTCGACGTCACCTCGACCTCCTGCTCATCCCCCACCCCCTCACCCGTCTCCACCTGGCCGCAGTCAGCGGGAGGCTGCAGCGAAGCTGCAACCGCAGACCTCCGAAGGCAGACCACCACACGCCGGCTTTAGCTTTCCTGCCGAGGCAAGACCTCGTGCAGCGGGGGGTGCTCTGCACGCCAGCTTGGATCCTGGCGGCAGGCAGCGGGACAGCATTCATGCTCCGCGTCCTGGGCGCCATCCTCCCCCGACTTGCTTGTTTGCTGACGGCCCCAGGGTTACGATGGCCCAGCCTACTTTGGCCTCGATCACCAGCAAGAATGTCGAGCGCACCCCTGAACTCGAGGGTTTTCACGTGTCGGGCCCTGGGAGACACTGCTTCGACACTCTTTCGACACTCTTTCGACACTCTTCTGGGAGCTCGAATTTTTTCTGGGATGTGGTCCTTAAGTACGATGGGAGCAACAGAACCCCAGGGCCCGTCGACAGCCAGCCCCCATAGAACGAACACGGTGGTATCAGATCTGATGTTTTGCACGACGTTGGGATGCAGGGCGCGAGCTAAGCAGCACCTTCCGTGTGACGCGCTGGAGATCCGCTCTCCCTCGCCCTGCCACCGCTCCACTCCTCGCTGCCGGACGAGGCTCGGAGCGACCGTGGCCCACGGCGCATCGCCAGAACACCGTTCCGCTCGCGCCGCGCGAGGACGTCTGGGCCCTCCCCCCCTCGACCAGCGACCATAGCCCACGGCGCATCGCCAGAACACCGTTCCGCTCGCGCCGCGCGAGGATGTCTGGGCCTCCCCCCCCTCGACCGCGCCACCCCCGCCCTGCCCGCGGTCGCCCCTCCCCGCAGCGCGTCGCCGGCCCCTCTCAGGAGCGGCTCGCCGCCATGGAGCAGAGCATCTCCGGCCTGCAGGATCCCCGGGTGGTAAGCGCGGCAGCCCGGGCGTCCCAGACATCCAGGCCTCCCACATTCGGCTACACGTAAGAGTGATCCTTCGCCGGAGTGACCTTTGGCGCGGGCACATTGGGGTCCCCGATTGCCGAACGCGAGGCGGCAGTGGAGTCTTGCGCGATTGTGTTTGGCCCCCCCGCGGCCCCCAAAAAGCCGCGCACCAAAGGTCACTCTTACCCAGGTTCACTCTTACGCGTAGCCGACATATGAGATCAGAGTAGGTGGGGTTGGTGGATCGCGAATCATCGCCGATTCGGCTCGATGTGGCGCTCGATGGCGAAGGCAGTGCGGCTGGTGCCGCCGACCCTGAAGACGACGAAGATGAAAACGAGCGGGGGGGGGGGGTAGGAGGCGGAGGAGGAGAAGGAGTGGGGGGGGGAAGAGGAAGGGTGGAGGAGGCGGATGGAGAGGAGGAGGAGGAGGAGGAAGGATGAGGAGGAGGAGGAGCAGGAGGAGGAAAAGGAAGCAGAGGAGGAGCAGGAGGAGGGGAGCAGGGGCGGAGGAGGAGGAGGAGGAGGAGGAGGAGGACGAGGACGAGGAGGAGGAGGAGGAGGAGGAGGACGAGGACGAGGAGGAGGAGGAGGAGGAGGAGAAGGAGGAAGAGGAGGATGAGGAGTCTGCGTCGTCCGTCCGTCCTCGTCGTCTGCCGCCGCCGCCGCCGTCGTGGTCGTCGTCGTCGTCTTCGCGGTCGTCGTCGTGGTCGTCGTGGTCGTCGTCGTGGTCGTCCATCGACAGTCGTCGCCGTCGTCGTCCGTCGTCGTCGTTCGTAATACGTAATCGTCGTCGTCGCCGTCGTCGTCCGTCGTCCGTCGTTCGTCGTTCGTAATCTGTCGCCCGTCGTCGTCGTCGTCGTCGTCGCGGTGGTCGTCGTCGTCGTGGTCGTCCGTCGTCCGTCGGCAGTCGTCGCCGTCGTCGTTCGTTGTCGTCGTCGTCGTACTCGTCGTCGTCGTAGTCGTCGACCTCGTCGTCGTTTCCGTCGTTCGTCGTCCGTCTTCTGTCTTCCGTTGTTCGTCGTTCGTAATCCGTCGCCTGTCGTCGTCGTGGTCGTCATCGTCGTCGTCGTCGTCCGTCGTGGTCGTCGTCGTGGTCGTGGTCGTCGTCGTTGTCGTGGTGGTCCGTCGACAGTCGCCGCCGTCGTCGTTCGTCGTCGTAGTCGTCTGCGTAGTAGTCGTCGTCGTCGTCGTCGTCGTCGTCGTCGTCGTCGTCGTCGATGTCGTCCGTCGTCCGTCGTCCGTCGTCCGTCGTCGGCGTCGTCGTTGTCGCCCGTCGTCGTCGTCGTCGTCGTCGTCGTCTTCTATCGCCTTTTTTGCCCGTCGTCATCGGCTCCGCGCGTCGTCACCGTCACCGTCGTCGTCCGTCCGTCCGTCCGTCCGTCCTCGTCGTCGGCCGCCATCGCCGCCGCCGCCGTCATCGTCGTTGTCGTCCTCGTCCTCGTCCTCGGCGTCGTCGTCTTGGTCGTCGTCGGCGTCGTCGTCGTGGTCGTCGTAGTCGTCGTCGTCGTCGTCGTCGTCTTCGTCGTCGTCGTCATCATCTTCGTCGTGGTCGTCGTCGTCTAACGTCGCCTTCGTCCGTCGTTGTCGGGTCTCCGCGTCGTCGTCGTCGTCCTCCTTCTCCTCCTCGTTGACGTCGTCGTCGTCCTCCTCGCCGTTGTCGCCGTCGTCCGTCGTCTGTCGTCATCGTGGTCGCGGTCGCCGTCGCCGTCGCCGTCGCCGTCGCTGTCGTCGTCGCCGTCGCCGCCACCGCCACCGCCGCCGTTGTCGTCGTCGTCGTCGTCGCCGTCGCCACCCATCTGTGTCCGTCGTCCTTGGGCTTGTCCCGGCGGCCCGCCGGCGCGGCGCCCGCTGCCCCCCCAGGAGGGCCTGAGGCCGAAGCTCGAGGCCGCCCAGGCGCCCGCCCGCCGCCCACGCCGCGAGGGGACAGCGACCGCAGGCCCCGAGTCAGATCCGCCCCAGCAGCGCCGCCGCCGCTCCCGCCGCCGCCGCCGGCACGCCGACGCGCTCCAGCGCTGCCGCGGACGCCCCCGCCGCCGACGCCGCCGCCGCCGCCGACGCCGACGCCGCCGCCGCTCCGCTTGCCCCCGGGCGGACCAGCATCCACAAGGGGAGCCGTGGGTCCTGCCCCGCCTGGAGGATGGGGCCCACGGGCTTCGACATGCTTCTGGAAGACATTTTCGTCACGATGGGTTTCTCCCGGGGGCGTGATGGGGGCACGCACCCCTAGTCGTGTTTGGTCGGCTCGGACGCCCTTCCCCCTCGACCCTAACGACTTTCCTCCACGTCCATCTCACGGTCACGATCCCCCTTCGCCCTCCCTGTCTCATACCTGCCCCCTTCTTCCTTCCTGGTCATCCTACGCCTTTCCCTTCTCCCCTTCCTCCCACCTCCTCCTCCCCGTCCTCTTCCTCCACGTCGTCTTCGTCCCTTTTTATTATTATTCCTCATTATATCCGTAAGGGCGTCGCCCCCTGCCGCCAGCCCCCTCTCTCGGATAATGGGCAATGCAAAAGCGAAATCATGAGGTCTTGGCGCCGCCGTGAAGCAGCGTTGGGACTTCACACGAAGACGATGAGTAATCGGTACGATAAATTGAGATTCGGATGATCTTGTTGAATTCGGTGCTGTATTTCAAAGGTTTATGGGTTCGGATACGCGAATAGCGTGTAAGATACGAGGGTTTATGGCTTTGGGCTTGCAACTATAGCGTACTTTACGCAGGTTTATTGTTATAGTGTGTAATATACGAGGGTGTAGGGCTTCGGACACGCGATTATTGTGTGGTTTACTAGGGTTTATGGCTTCGGGGTCGCAAATACTACGCAGGTTTATGGCTTCGGAGACGCGAGTATCGCTTACTTCACAAGGGTTCCTGGATTCGGGGACGCGAACATTGCATGATTTACGAGCATGAGTGGCCTCGGGGACGCAAGCATCGTGTAATTTACGAAGGTAGGTGGCTTCGGGGACACGAGTGCGACGTATTCTGCGAGGGTTTATGTCTTCGGGGACGCGAGTACGGTGTAATTCACGAGGGTCTATGGCCTCGGGGACGCGAACCTGGTGTAATTTGCAAGGTTTATCGCCTCGGGGGCGCGAATTTCATGTATTTCTATGTGTCCCACGCACCCATCCAGGAATTCAGAGCACGCGATTCGGGCGTGGTAACCAGGTTCCTTCTCGGCTCCCTCCCCCCCTCGCGCGGTCCATCAACAGGGAACAGGAAGCAGCAAGAAGCAGAACTGTAACAGTGGAAACTGGAAACTGGAACCGGTGCAGGGAACACCAAACCCTCAGCCTACAGTCTGGTGGCCCCACAAGGGGGCCGGCGGATTTACGCATCATCCTTATCTTCTCTTCTCCTTCTCCTCCTTCTCGTCTGCTCCTCCCTTCTCCTCTTCCTCCTCCTCCCCCTCCTCCTCCTCCTCCTCCTCCCCCTTCTCGCTGTGCTGCGCCAGTATCTTCCAACGGCTTTTGCAAAGGAGTGAGGAACTGTACTCAGACGAGGCCCTTCTCCAACGCATCCATGTACATGATCATGTGATTGGTTTCCCATCGCTTGCGCACGCGAAGCCTGGCCGCGGTCAGGTATACTCGAGGGATGACACAGACCGCATGCTGAAGGATTTCTACTGCAAGGGGGAGATGGACGCGCAGATCTCGCGGATATGGTGTTTTGCTTGGTTCTGTCTGTGGAGCGCCCTCGGTGTTCGTTCGCCCTGCTCTTCTGCAGCCCTTCGGTCGGCCTCGCTCCGCACAGCCCGCTCAGCCCGCCCGTCTCGCCCACCATCCGTTCACGTCCACACCCACGCCCGCACGCACACACCCAATCACACACACAATCACACACACGCACACTCACGCACTCTCTCACACACACACACATACGCACACACATGCACACACGGAGACACGCACACACAGACACGGACACGGACACGGACACAGACACAGACACAGAAACAGGCACAGACACACACAAACACAAACACAAACACAAACACAAACACAAAGACAAACACAAGCACAAGCACAACCACAATACACACAAACACACACTCACTCACACACGTACGCACCTACACACTTACACACACCTACACACTTACACTTACACGCACGCACGCACGCACACACATACACACTCAAACCTACGCTCACACCCACACCGACATCAAAACATCAACGCCCACATACACGCCCAGACACCTACACCAAGCCAAGCACCCACACCACTCCCTCAGACGCTTCCGATCGACGTCACTGGGACCTCGGATCTTTTCAGGCAGAGGGAACTGGAGCAGAGTGGATGGGCGAAGGGAGAGTCAGGTCCTCCTCATTCTTACTTTCATCCTCCACGTCCTCATGGAAATGGGGTCTCGGGCACACAAGATGGCAGAGCTATAGCAGCGGCAAGTGTTACACATGTCAGTCGTGCAAAGTGGAGCTGACTGCAGCTCGTACGCTACCAGTGCATCCACGCGTGTGAGGCTGCGCTCAATTTCCTGCACTTGCTTGCAGCATTCCACCATGCAAGTACGTGCGCTGGTCGCACAAGGCGATGCTGCGGCGCACCCATGTTCGAGCGAGGCTCCGCTCCCCAAAGAGCGCTTGCACTAAAGGATCTGTTACTTACTGCGCGCACTTGTGTGTTTTCCGAGTTTTCGCCGGGTGGGCGCGGGTGGCTGTGAGGGGTGTGCCACAATGGACATCGAGTGCGTACGGACCCTGCTTCCTATGAGGCCACGAACCGTGTGAGGGCTGCGCTCTCATGGGCGTCGAGCGCACACGGACTCTGGAACCGGGGCCTTCGGTGGATGCCTATGGGGCCACGAACCGTGCGAGGGGTGTGCCACAAGGGACGTCGGGCGCACCGTGGCTGCCGCCGTGCGCCGAGGCGGAGGAGGAGGAGGAGGAGGAGGAGGAGGAGGAGGAGGACAAGATGGAAGAGGGAGGAGGAGGAGGAGGACGAGGAGGTGGAGGAGGAGGAGGAGGGGGGGGAGGACGGGAAGGAGGACGGGAAGAGGAAGGAGGAGGAGGAGGAGGAGGAGGAGGAGGAGGAGGAGGAGGGTTTTCAAAGGCTATCGCTGGGTGGGCGCCCGTGGCCGCCGGGTGGCCGCGGCGCGCGCTGGCAGCGCTTTCGCCCAGCGGGCGCCCCGCGGTGGCCTCGTGGCCGCCCCGTGCGTCGGCGGGGTGCTCCGGGTGTCCGCCCGGTGGCGAGCGCCCGGCGCCTGCCTCGTGGCTGCCCTTCGCGCTGGCCGACGTTTCTCCACATTCTCGCACGGGTCGGGGCCCACATGCGAACCCTACCCCTACCCCCCACGATTTCTCAGGGGGAGGGTGGGGTTCACTTCGCTCGAGAGCTCCCGAACGAAGTGAACCCCACCCTCTCCCTGAGAAATCGTGGGGGGTAGGGGTAGGGTTCGCATGTGGCCCCCTAATGGGGTCGGGCGTGGCTTACTGGGGCGGCGATGCACGGAGGGGGGGGGTAAAGGTGGACTTTTTGTCCCCCAAAGGCGCCCTGAAGGGCCCCATCTGGGGCCCAGAAGGGGGCAGGAAAGGTCCACGTCTCTCCCCTCCCCCAGTAAGCAACGCCCGACAAAGTCTGCAACACACGGGTTCTCCTTCCGGAAGAACAGACTCTACCACCTTCTTCCTACGGACTTCTACTTCCTTCCATCTTCTACCACTTCTATGACAAACTGCACATGCAAGTCTGCCTCATCGCTCATCTTCCACCATTGAAGTTCATAGCATCCCAGACTGGCCAGTATTGCCCCCCCTCATCTATGTGCGCGCACCCGTTTACTTCAAAAGATCATGTTGCAGTCTTTTCTTGCAGACGGTGGCGCCAAGTCCACGCGCGTGCGCGCACATGTCGAAATCAGACCAAACACGCCAGCTTCGCAGGCTTCTGTCTAAGGGGCTAACACGTAGCACGCCGCGCCAGAGTAATAAGACCAAAGAGGCGGTGCATGCGGATGGAACGAAGTCGATGTTATCATGGCCGCGGCTTTGGTCAGCTCGAGTCGGTTCGGTGCGCTCTGGGTCGGGCTCGGCTGACTCCTGGCCGGACTGCAGACTGGCTCGCTTTGGCCAGCTCGGGTCAGTTTGGTCCAGCTCGATCCAGCCGGAGCAGGTCGGGTGGGAAGGGCCCAGCTCGGTTCGGCCAGATGAATTTGCCGGGAGCAGACCGAGATCCGATCCCGCAGCTTCGACTTCTTTTTGTTGTTCACCACATTCGCATACAGCGTGGTCTTCTGGAGGTCTCGACCCCGTCCCCGCGACCGGCTTTTCACCCCGAGTGGTTTCCGACGGCCCTGGGGTTCCGTAGGGGCCCTCGGACGCCGAACATAGCAAAACGCAGCATTCAACTTGTGTTCACCTGGAGGTGTGGGATGGTCGCGCATCTGATGTCAGGTTACGATTGTGGAAGTCGATTAACTGAGAGGAAGCATGCTGCCAAATCATTTCCAGATGTCTGAAGCATGTCTCAAACATGCTTTTAAACATGCAAAAACATGTTTGAAACATGTTTAGAACATCTTGTACACATGTCGAACACATTTTTTTATTTCAATGGTGGGATTGATAGAGTGTCCATTGTCATGGCATCCGCGAAGTTACGAGCCGAGAGTTTCTCGGTGACCGGTGACAGTCGAGGAGGTCTTCGCGCCGCGATGGGGAAGCGCCGCCCAAGCAGCTCCTGACCTCGGGTCGGCTGCCTGCCGAAGCAAAGGCGCCGCCACAATGGAGGAAGCGTTTTCCTTCAAGCCACCTCGCCCGGAATGCCAGGGCCCCCTTGTGTGTGGCAAAGATCTAGGCCTCCCAGATGGGGTCGGAGTAGATGGGGTCGGAGGCTCGCACCGCATCGCCGATGCATCGGCGATGCATCGGCGATGCATTGGCGATGCGGCTCGATGTGGAGACTGTGTTTCCCCACGCCGACGTCGCCGATGCATCGCCGATGCATTGCCGATGCATCGCCGATGCATTGGCGATGCGGTGCGATTCTTCGACCCCATCTACTCGGACCCCATCTAGGAGGCCTCTAAAAGATGCAGACCCCCCAGGATTCACAACATTCAACGAGGTTCCTCTGTTCCCGCTGCGGGGGCTTGCAGCCGCATCGAGCCCTCCTTGGCATTGGGAATTACAGCCGCCCTGACGCAAACCCAAATCCCTAAAGCCTGGGGTCAGCCTGGTCCGTGAGCCTAGCCTGAACCCTGCAGGAATAGCCTGTTGAATAGATTTGGAAATCAGAGTGAGGGTGCCGAATGGTCATTCACTGTCTTTTGGTGCGTGGCCGAGGTGGGATTCCGCGATGCGGATTCTTGTTGCTGTTGATTGTGGTGATGATGTTGTTGTTGGGCTCTCATTTCTGAAGTATTATTATTGTTGACCCCCCTCACTGGTGCATATTGTTTTTCTCATTCAAAGTGTGCCCCTCGATGCTCGCACCCTGTTTTTTGACAGGGGAAGTCTTGGTGTTCAAACTGTGCCCCTGGCCCCCCGGATTGCAACAACAACGGCTCCCGCTTGAGAACTCTTCAAAATTTACGCAGGACCCCCTTCACTTGAGACTTCCTCACAATTTACTTAGGATCGGTGCTCCCGCCTGTGACTTCCTCGCAATTTCATCAGGACCCCCGCTTTCATTCGAGACTTTCTCACAATTTACTCGGGAACGGCGCTCCCGCTTGAGACTTCCTCGCAATGGAATCAAGAGGTCCTCGCAATTAAATCAAGACCCCCGCTCCCGCCAGAGAACCCTTCACATGTTGTTCAGGAGTTGCGTTCTCGCTTGTGACTTCCATGCAGCTTATTCAGAAATCGCGCTTGCGACACTCAGGAAACACGCTGCGCCAAGGACGCCGTTACAATTTTAATGTACTTAGTAATCGCGCTCTCGCCATACTCAGGCACCCCGCTTTTGAATGTCCCACCCGCCCGACCCGCCCGTCAGGGGATCGCCCGCCCGTTGTGGGCTCCCGCCCGAGACTTCCTTCATGAACGGCGTTTTCGCCTAGGTCTTCCTCGAACGTTCACGCTCTTACCTTCCTGCTCCTCCTCCCTCTCCCTCCTCCCTCCTCCCTCCTCTCCTCCCTTTTTTGTTCTCTCGCTCTCTCTCTCTCGCTCTGTCTCTCTCTCTCTCTCTCTCTCTCCCCCATCTCTTCCCTCATCCTGATGCCTCTCTGCCCTCTCCCCTCTCCCTCCTCTCCCTCCTCCCTTCTCCCTCTCATTTCCTGCCTCCTCCCTCTTTCTTTATTTCGTCGTCTCTCTCTCTCTTTCCCCTCTCTCCCTCTCTCTCTCTCTCTTTCTATACCTCTCTGATATGTTTTGTGTGTTCCCCTCTCGCTCTCTTTCACTATTGTTGTTTTTTTTGTTCTCTCTCTCTCTCTCTCTCCCTCTGCCTCTAATCAACCTCCCCCCTCTTCGCTCATTCTCTCCTGGCGTTTTCCTTCTTCTTTCGTCCCTCCGCCTCCCTCCTTCCCACCCTCTCTCGTTCTCCCCCTCCTCTTTCTGCAAGGCCCACTTCAATTCCAATGGTGGGCACATGTACGCCCACGAAGGATGGTCCGCCCGTTCAGGTTCGCCCGCCTGTCTAAGCCCGCCGCCCCCCGCAAAGAGAAATAATCCCCCCAAGGGGAGTGTAATCTAAAACAAAAGG